CTTCTTATTTGTCGAGGCACCAGCTGAAGAATTAGTATCTTCTATTCAATCTACAGTCATTCCATTTATTGATGATCTTAATCCATTGTGGTCACCTAATTTCAAGACAATGTTCCAATTAATTTGTAGTAATGATGAAATAAAAGAATTAGAAAATTCAAAAGCACCTTATTATCCAGATAAATATCCACAAGGAACTACTTTTGCTTATCAATTCCAAGCAATGCAACCATCTCTTATTCATTTTGTTTCATCACTTCCACTTATTCCATGTTTAACTCCATTAAATTCATATGATAAAAATCATATTGAATTAAATAAAAAACGTGCGTTAATTAGAGAACGAGTTGAACATTTAATGATTTTTGGTAAAATTAAAGTTATTTCAATGTTTAACATAGATGGAACAAAATCTGATAGAACTATTGGAATTATGAGAGAACATTCTCATTCAGCAACTGCTGCTCTTGTAGCAATTAATACCATAAATAATTCTACTACTGTTCATTTTGATCTCCATGAATTAAAATTAAAACATGAACAACCAGATGATGCAGTATTTGAAGTTATTGATGTTGTTACTCATAAAAGAGAGTTAATGAGCTATTTTGAACTTAAAAATGAACATATTCCAATTAAACTTGGTCCATTTGATATTGCATGTTTCCAATTCTCATTATATAAACCACATGCAAATGTTAGAGTTGCACTTGAACATCAAGAATGTTCTATTAGAAGATGTATGCAATTACTTCAATCTGGAGAATCTGCTGTTGGAAATAGTATTTTTGAAGAAATATTTACTGATTTAAAAGAAAATAAAGCTAAAGACCTTTCTAAATATCTTCAAACATTACAAAAATCTTTAAAAGATGGAGCTACTAAAAATGAACAAAACAAACTTGCAGACTTAGTTCAAGAATTATTTTATCAAATTAATATTATTGATGGGTTAAGAAATCGTAAAATTCCAATTATTGGAATAAATACTTTACAAACTATTTCTAGAGAATCTTCTGTTGCTGGAGAAATTTGTAGAATTGCATTAGAAAAGAATAAATTAGGAACAATTGTTTTTGTTACACCAGAATTAGGAAGGTTTTCTACTATTGGAGGAATTGGTGTTCTTATTAATGAATTAACAAAAACAATGGCAGAATTAGGTTGTGAGATTGTTGTTATTTCACCATATTATAATATGAATAAAAAAGGTCAACAAGGTTATTTAAAGAATGAAGGAATTCAACAAATTGGAAGTGTTACTGTTGAAGTTGCACATGAACCTGTTAGTTGTGGTGTTCATTATGGAAGAGAAAATAATGTTGATTTATATTTCCTTCATAATTATGATAATTTCCCAATGGCTTATCCACCATTTAATGCAGAAAGACATTTAAGGTCTGCAGTATTATTAGGTAAATCATCATTACAATTATTATGTGATAAAGGAATTCATCCATCATTAATTATTACTAATGATTGGTTTACAGGAATGGTTCCTGCTTATGCCAAATATGGATTTGGAGATTATTTCAAACAATGTACTTTCTTCCATATAGTTCATAATTTAGAAAAAGGATATATTGGAGATTTATATCCAGATACAGACTTATCTTATATTCATGAGCTTCCTGGAGAATTAGTTAATAACCCAGGACCAACTGCTTTAAATATGTCAATGTGTGCATTAAAATGTAGTGATAATTGGGGAACAGTTAGTAAAAGTTATATGCAAGATGCTCTTAAAGGATCACCACTATCATATCATTTAAGACAATTCCCACATCCATTTGCTTGTAGTAATGGTATTTCAGTTGTTCATAGAACAGAGGCATTAAAGAAAATATCACCAACATTAGATCATTGGGAGTGTAAAAGAAGATTACAACAAAAGTATTTTAATAATGTTGATGATAGTATTCCATTATTTGGATTTGTTGGAAGAATTTGTGAACAAAAAGGTGTTTTCTTATTATTAGATGCAATTTGGTCATTAGTTAAAGAGACAAATGGAAAGTGTCAGTTTATTATTGGAGGTATGGCTCCAATGGATGATCCATATGCAGTTGCTTGTTCAATGAAAATGAAAGAAATGAGACAAACATTCCCACAATGTTTTTGGTGTGATCCAACTGCATTCTTTACTGATGGACCATTAATGAATATGGGATGTGATTTTACATGTATGCCAAGTATGTTTGAACCAAGTGGATTAGTACAACAAGAATCATTCTTAGGTGGAACACCAGTTATTGCATTCCAAACAGGAGGATTAAAAGACACTGTTTTTGAATATAATCCAATAGATAAAACAGGAAATGGGTTTGTGTTCCAAGGATTTGCACATGGAGATCTTGTTTTTGCAATTCAACGAGCAATTAAAATTTTCCAAAATCCTGAAGAATATAAAGTATTAAGAAGCAATGCAGCTAAGTCAGTTTTAGATTTAACAGATGTTGCAATTGCATGGGGAACTGAATTTGGTAGATTAAAGAAAAAAGTCTTTGTTTTTGAACTTTAAAAACAAAAGAAAGGAGGAATTAAAAAGAATTTAAATTTAATTTTAGCAAATGAAGAATTTAATGAATAATTACATTTTATTTTACTATTTTTCTACGTCTTTTAATCTATATAACATTTTTATCAGTCATCACAAAGGATAATAAGCTTCAATGCTAAATCAAATATTGTTGCAGAATAACAAATTTTACCTACTGAATGTTTATATGGTGAACAATTTGATAAAATATCTGATACTTCTCTTTGACAATGTAAATCAGAATTACCTATAATCCATGCAACATGTTGAAGTAATTCATCACCATCAGGAATAGAAGATAATAATTTAGGAATACTCGAAACAATTTCATCTACTTTTTTAAAAATGTCCGTTGGAATGAATAATAAATTCAATTCATTACACAAGGAAATTAATTGATTAAAATTACCATCCCATTGAGAATTTCCTTTATATTTTTCTTTAATAATTTTACAATGTGAAAAATATGTTGGATAATCAAATGGTAAAGGAATTGTTTTATAATATAATCGTGGAAATGCTACTATTTCAATTAATCTATCTAAAATATCACTACCACCAATAAATCCTATTTTATTATCTTTAATAATTCTTTTACGAATATTTCTTAATTCATTCATAATAGCTTTACTTTGAATTGGTTTTAATACTAACCGTTTGATATCTTCCCAATAAGGAGATCTATAATCCCAAAACCAATAATTAAAATGTTCGATTAAATCAGGAGAAAATATAAATTTTCTTTCACTTGTTTTATCAATTTTAATTATAACATCAACCAATATTGTTTTTAATACCTTTGTACGAGGATTTGTTAATGTTAAATATTTTGTGAATACCTCATCATAATGTTGTTTTGCAGAATATAAATTCTTATTTAGTTTCTATGATATAATTATATATTTTATTGTTTTTATTAATTGAATTAAATAAAGATACAAACATTCATAAATTCTTTGCGTGGAATTTCTATTTCATCTTTTTTTAATAAACTAATTGGGGATATAAAGAACTTTTTTATCTCAATAACAAAATATGATTTTTCTAACATAGAAATAACAACAGATAAGATTTCAGAATGTTGTTTAATAATATTAAAATCATATGCTAATACATTTTTTTGAAACTTAAATCGTTTTAATTGTGTTATATAATAATTGTCACTAGCTTGTTTCATTTCCCTTTGTTGAGCTATAAAATATGTTAAACTTTCTTTTTTCATTTGTTGATTAGCATCAAACATTTGTTCTTTAACTTTTTGATCAGCTTTAATGATTTGATCCATTAGCCTAACACAAATAACTTTTAATTTAACTAATTTTGTTAAATATTTTTGTTTTGTATTTTCATCAAGTTTTATCTTTTTTGAAGTAATTGGAAGAAGTGGAGTAACTTTAGGAAACAAATAGTCATTAGGGAATGTCTCCATTGTTTCTTCACCAATTTTTTCTTAGTTCCTTATTTTCAGCTTAATCTCATGTTATTCTTTTTATTCATTTCAAATTCACTGTAAAATAAATTCTTTTTAATGTTATATTTAACAAAAAAATTATGATTTATTCTGTTATTAATAACGAAAAATAGAATTACAAATAAAAAAGAAGTTGTTATAAATTAAAAATAGATAAAAAACTCGATAAAGTATTTTTAATATTATAAATCAATAAAAATTCCAAAATTTTTGACAATCGTCTTATTAATTTGGGTGTATTTTCAATTGATTCAAAGAAATATTCTAACAAATAAAAATATTTTTCTTATTCTTGAACGAAAAAATATCAAAAAAAAATAATTTTAAATACTCATCAATCAATCAAGAGTAATGAATATGGTTAACAACAATAAAAGAAGAAGATATCGGTTAACAAATAACTTATGTGATGCTTATGCATTTTTATTAGCACTTTTATCAAAAAGTTGTTCAATTAAAGTGAGTAAACCAAGACATAAAACAATGATAACACATGAATTTATAAAAATATCAGAAATAGTATTTGGTAATGGTGATGGAATTGATGTAAGTGCTTTTGTTAAATTAAGAGAAGAGGAATTAGTAAATGATTTTGTAAAAAAAGGGTTACAAGAACAACGAGCTAAAAGAAGAATGCAAGACCAAAGAAGACTTGAATGTTTTCATTTAGTTATTGATATTCTTTCAGAAAAAAATATCTTTGTTTCTTGTGAAATTGAAGAAAATGCAGGTATTGATGGAAAAATAAATATTTTTCAAGATCAACAATTAGTTTATTCAAATGAATCAATCAAAAAATATGGTCCATTTGTAACTGATTATATCCAAAATAAACTTGGAACTATGAAAACTGTATTATTCAATGTTGGTGAATTATATAGATTACTCAATTAATTTATTTATTTGTACCAAAACTTAATAAAAATAAAAAAAAAACATTATCATTTAAAACCAATAACAATTTGATATTTTTTAAAAAAAAAGTATATTTTACACCATTTGTGAATGTAGAAAATTTTGAATAATATTTAATGGTGGAATAATATATGGAATATGTTGTGAAATAGCCATTGCTTCAATAGTCTCTGTTAATGCTCTAAATTTTATATAATTTATATTACCATTTAAAAATGATTCCATTTCTTTAAATGAAATAACGTCTTTTAAAAAAATAGAAATAATAGGAACTCTAGGAGATTCAAAAGGAATTTTTTTCATTGCATTTCTGTACCTACAAAGATTTCTTTGTATTGAAAATAAATCATAAATTTTACTGTACATTAATTTTTTCCCTTTTTTTAATCCATCAAATTGTTCTTTACATGAAATTGACTGTTTTACAATAACTGAAAAAATAAGATGTCCCATATTTAAATCATATAAATCAATACAACATTGTGCAACTTTAATAAAATATTTAAAAGCTTCTGTAGTAGTCATAATTTTAATAAAGAAATCTTCTAATTTATTAAGTACTTTAATATAACTTTGAAAATATTCAGAACCATCACTATTTATTAAATCATTTAATGGTATTTTTTTAAATTCATTAACATCATAAACAACAAGTTGTTCAGCAATAATTTTATAATCAATGTTCATAAAACTCTCAACATTAATAAAATCAACTTTAGCATTTTCACTTTCAAAAATACTTAGTGGATCACCTGATTTAGTTCTAGTTAATTTAGGACGACTCTCTTCTTTAGGTGTTTCTGAAGAAGGATGAGAAGAAATAGAAAGTGCTTTCTTTCTTCTTGTTTGTTTTTTTTCAATTTTCATAAATAAAGATTTTGTAGAAATTGGATTTTTAAATCCAGAAGTTTTATTTGATAATATTTCTTTTATATTTGTAATAAATTGTGAAGAATAAATAGGTGAAGTAAACATTTGATTTATTTCTATTTTTTCTTCATTAGATAAAATAAATATTTGATATTTTAAAAATATTTCTATCACACTTTCAATTCTATTTTGAACATTTTCTAAATATTTTTTAGGATATTTTTCTTCATTTTTTAATTGATTTGAATATTCATTATGAATGTATTTAAATTGATTAACAATATATGTTGGTTGACAGAGAATATTTCCAGTAAATGCAAATATATGAATAAATTCTGTTGATGCATATGGATCAAATAATTGTTGAAAGAATTTTTCAGTAGTAATTTGAATAATATATCCATCATCATCAAAAATTGGATCTCCTTCAACTGAAAAAATTTCTTCAATATTTGAAACAACATGAGAAACAAATACTTCACATTCAGTAGGTAATGTTTTAGTTCGTTCAAATGTAAGAAATTGAAGTTTTTTAGGTTGTTCATTAGTTTCTTTAATTTTTCTTGCAAGACTTTCAAAAACAATTTTTCTATTTTTTTCCATTCTCCAAACTGTCATTCTAATATCAGGTGAAAATACTTCATTCTCATTTCTTATTAATACAAAATCATTTTCACTAAATAATTGTAATAATTTGGCATATTCAAATGAATCAGCTGTTAAATCAACTACTTTAAATACTATTTGATTTGACGTTAACCCTTCTGAATTTCTATCTAGCAAACTATTTGCTGATTTTTCAAATACATCTAAAACTTTACTTAATGATTTTGTAATAGTTACTCTTCTACTTCTTTTTTTTAATGCTGGTTGAGTATCAATTGTTGTAGATGGTTTCATTTAAATAAATAAAGATGTTGTTTTTTTTATTTACAAAAAGGTGGGTTAAAAATTTTGAAAACGTCTAGTCATTTTAAATTTTCTTTTTCTTTCTATTTTTATTCTATTCTTGTTTTTTTTAGAAGTTTCTTTTTATTGACTCTCCAATGAAAAAAGTGTTTTTTTTTTTCAATGATGAATTAAAAAATGATAAAAAAATTTGGTTTTAATGACATGAATTATAAATTATTACTATTCTTAAATGTTTTAAACTTTTTCATAGAATTTGACATTATAAATTTGAATTAACTCTTATACCTTTTATTATACACCATTTAGCACAATCTCTATTATTAAATAATGATAATTTCAACAACAATAAAGAATTATATGTTATTGGTTAAGAGTAAATTATTAATTTCTTAAAGAAGTTATTATCCAAAAACAAAATAAGTGTTTGTGGCTAAAAAAAATAACATTCAATAACATACTATTTTTATAGATGAACATTATTCATGAAAAATCGAGACAAAAAAATAGAACTAACGAACATTTTTAATAATTTTTTTTTGAGAATCAGACAAAAATAAATAATTTCAAAGTTATTTATTCAATTAGTAAAAATAACTCCCTTCATCCTCTCTTTTTTTGATGACACATAACTATTTGGCGCCAAATCAGATTATGTAGGAAGAATATTCCATGCAGTAAAGTAAATAAAACGACTGTTAAATACAACATGATTGTAGTTTTTTTTGAAGAATATTTATAAGATTCAGCGGTTGAACTAATAAAAAAGCTTGATGTCTTCAGAACCACTTCACAAAGTCTCTGATTCACAACGTTTGGCTGAACGATATCAAACAATAAGAGATTATTTAGCATATCAACAAGCTGTACTAATAGCACTATTAAATAAAAAATATGATATTGTTGTAGAAAGAGCAACAAAAAAATCAATAATAACAAGACAAGTTGTAAAAGTAATACAAGTATCAATAGGAAAAGCTCAAATTGATGTATTAGAGATTATAAATAAGAGATGTAAAGCACTTATGGAAATAGATATTTATAACGGTGTAGTACATGAAACTGCATATCGTAGATTTATTACAAACAAATCAATTGAAAATCACCATTTTTTAATTGACCTTTTAGAGAATGAAGGTTATTTCTTTAATTCATCTTACTCATCAGGAAAAAACAATTCCAAAAAAATGCAAACTGTTCTACAAATTTTTAAAGATGGTATGTGTCTTCTTAATAAAGAAGATATTACTAAAAAAGGAATAAGTCTTAGTAATTATTTATCTCAAAAAACTTTAAAAGAAAAATCATTTTTAATTTCTAAAAATGATCCTATTTTATCATCTATGTTATAATTCATTTGTTTATTTTGTAATTTATTTAAATTCAAACTATCAATTAATCAAATTAATATTTTTAACATATTTGTTTTTTAATATGAATATTTTTTTATTCGTCTTTCTTTTAATAAAAAATTTAATTTGAATATTAAGAAGAGTGGAAATAAACAGAGAATTATTATTTAAAATATATGTTAATAAAAATAATATTATTCGAAATAAGAATAAATCAAATTTAAACAAAAAAATTTATAAAAATCAACATTAAAAAATAAAAAATAAAAGAAAAAAATAAAAAAGAACTGAAAAAAGGTTATAATATCAATGAAGATACTGTTAATAGTATTATTTTTAAGTTTTGTATTTGCAAGTATTCCAATGAACGCAACGAATACCATTCAAAATGAACTTGATGAAATGAGTTCTTTATATAGAAAAAAAGTACAAAATGTCCAAGAAGGAATTGAAAAACAAGAAAAAAAGTTAACAAAAATCAAAAAACAATTAAAGAAAGTATTAGAAAAATTAGATATTAGTGAAGCAAAAAGAAAATCAAATGAAAAAACATTTTCACAATTAGTTTTTAGAAAAAACAAATCAGGGAATAATAAAGAAACAATAAAATATTTAAATGTTCGTTTAAAACAAACAAGAAAAACAATTGCTTTAAGTAAACTTCAAGAAAAGAAATTAAAAATAAAAGAAAGATTATTAAAATTAAAAAAAAGAAATACAATAGAATATATTGATTATCTTCAAAAAAGAATTACTGCAGTTAGTAAAAAATATAGTACTCTTGTAGATAATTTAAATACTAAAAAAAATAATTATATAACTCTTTGGGATAAATATCAAAAACAAATTAATGATCAAAAAGAAATGAATGATACTATCAATCAATTAACTCAAAATATTCTTAATAATACTAATTCAAATGAAGTTAATGAAAAAGTTAAATTAATTCAAGAAGTTAAAAATGCTTATAAACAATGTGAAAATAAAAAATTGTTTTTAATTGAAAAACTTCATGACTTTATTCCTGTTGAAAATAAAGAAATAGAAACTACTAGAATTACTATTCATTCATTACTTAAAAAATATAAAAGTAAACTTTTAAAAAAACAAAGTGAATTTAAAAAAGAAAAGAAAGTATTAAAACAATTAAAAAATGAATTAAAAAATGAAAAAAAGGAAACAGTTATTGATGAAGAAAGAATTAATGATTTAGTTAAAGAAATTGATAAAAGACAAAGAAGAGTATTAAAAATTCATAAAAAAATTATGAATATAAAAAAAATTATAAGTGAAAAACAAACAGAATTAAAAGATAAAATGATTTCTTTTCAAAAAGAAAATGAAATTAAATTTAATGAACAACTTAGAAAAAGAATTATATTTTCACAAGAAAAATGTCAAAATATTGCAAGAGAAATAAGAGGTCTTAGATCTTCAATTAAAAAAACTATTGATGATATTCAAAAAGAAACATTAAATAAAACAATTTCATTAAAATTAAATGAATATCATGAATGTACTGATGAAGTTATTAAATTTGAAAAAAGATTAGATAGGTTTATTCGTCAAAAACAAAATAGAATAAGAAATGAAAAAGAAAATTTGTTTAGAGAAAAATCTTATTTAAGAAGAAAATTAATTGAACTTGAAGGATTGGCTGAAAAAAGAAAAATTTCTGGAAGAGGTGTTGTTAGTAAACAAGAAAAAAAATATATCATTAAAGCTTATGCTCAAATTCATTCAAAAATTGATGTTGTTAAACGTGAATTAGATTCTGTAATATTTGAAATTAGACAACTTCAACAAGAACAAGTTAATAAAATTAGTTCTATTGTTAATGATATTACTCAAAAAGACCAAAAAATGGATTTTGAAAATAAACAAATGAGAAAAAAAATTTTAGATTTTGGTGAAATGATTAAAGAAAAAACTATCGAATTAAAAACTTTACAAAAAAGTGCTAAAAAAGTTGCTGCTAAATTAAAATTAAAGAAAGAACAAATTGAACAAGCAGAAAAAGAAAGACAATCTAAATTAATTGCTGTTGATAAAGAAATTAAAGACGTTGAACTTCAATTAAATTCATTCCCTAAAGTTGAAAGTCAATTGGATAAATTAAAATATCAATCACTAGAAGCTCGTTTAACTACTTTAAGAAATGAAAAAAAGGGATTACTTGATGCTGCACCAAAGAAATAACTAAAAATTCAAGTTTTTTTTTATGTTTAACTAACATATTTTATTATTCTTTTCTCTAATATTAATACCCTTTTTAATTTTTAAATTATAAAATTTTTAAAAACATTTGAAAAGAATTTTAATGAAATTACATTCTGCAACTTTCAATATAAATAGTTCATATTCTTCAAAGGAAAAATAAAACAAACTGTAAATTCGAACTTTAAATATTTTACAATTAATAATTAGTAATGGACAAAGGTAAATTAGCAAAAATGGA